TCTTTATGCTACTCCATTATGTTGAGGAGTAAAATGAACAATTACTTTATAATCAACACCATGTTCTGCACATAATGCTCAATTATCTTATTCTCACTCTGGTTTTTGACAAGCATCTTGAATCTCTTAAAGATTTCAAATACTTTGTTCTTTCGTTTGATCATATAGATCCATAGATTTCGACTCTACTCATCAAAAAATAAGACGAACTACCTATTTCCAATAATGGTATGCTCTTCAAAAGGACCACATACATTTGAATGTACAACTTCGAGTATGTAAGATGATCTCATTGGCATAGTTGAAACAAAAGAATTCCTAAACTGCTTTTCAACTAGACAACCTTCATAAAGTTTGTCAAGAATATCAAGACTTAGTATATCAGGTACCATATCTTAAGTGATTAGTTGATTGAGCGACATAAAGTTTAGATGACCAAACCTCAGATGCCACAACCAACTATTTTTGTGGTCGACAACTGTTTTTAGACATTGTACCTCAGTCAAATTAATCGTGGTCTTGAATGTCCTATTCTTAGATAGAGGAAATTTCAAGACCAAGTTATTCTGGATGTCGGAAAGTTCTAAGGCTCCATCTTTCATAACCACTGAGAACCTTTTTTCGACTAGTTGTCCTACACTTAGTAGATTGCACTTCATTCCGGAGACATAAAGCACATCTTTGATCAATGCTTTTGCTCTATTCCTCCTTTAAATAACTATGTTGTCAGTACCTTCTGCTTGCAACGAGCTATTACCAGCAAGTTTGACCTTGCTCTTCTTCAACTCCTCAAAATCTACTAACCATACTTTTCGACTAGTCAAGTGATTCGAGCATCCTGAGTCGAGGAACTTGATCTTGGATTAGACATGGTCATCTACAACTGCAGTCATAACCAACATATCATCAGAATCATCTGATCTTGACATGAAAGGTTTGCTCATTCGTCCTTGCCTTTTATCGATCCCCTGTCTTTCCTGTACCAACAATGCTTGGGCAAGCAACCCCACTTTTCCCAGTTGTAGCACTGCACATCTTTGTTCTATACTTTTTCTTTCTGATAGGAATTTCCTTCTCCTTTTTTTGAGGATTTAGAAGTTCTATCATCGATCTTATTCTTGTGAGGATTTGACCAAGACTTCATGCCTTGAATCTTGTCAATTTTGCCTTGAAATTGTTGTAATCACTATTCTTCTTCCACGACTGAGCTTGTAGTGATTGTATCGAGTCTTGAAATCTTTTCCTTTTGACAGTCCTAATCTCATGCGCCTCCAACGAACCAACCAAATCTTCCAATTTTAGGGTTTCAAGATTGTTGGATTCTTAGCTACATAAAGTCATTAAAGTGAGAGGTCAACGTACACATTACCTTCTCAATTATCATCTTATCAGTTAGGGTTTCATCATAACCCTTCATGAGATGAACGAGTTTCTGCATCTTCGACACATAACCTGCGATCTTTTCATCTTCTCCCATCGACAGCAATTCATATTGTCGTCGTAAAGTTTGCAACTTGACAACCTTGACTTTCTCTCCTCCTTATAGTAATTGACAAGAATATCCCATGCCTCCTTCGCCGATTCAGCATGAGTGATTCTGTCGAAATTAGCTACATCAATTGCCGACTGGATGTAAAACGCTGCCTTGCAATCCTTCTTTTTGGAATCCTTGTGAACGGTTCTTTGTGCGTCAGTTGCATTTTCATCAAGTGCAGAAACACCATTAGTAACCACTTCTAGGGTTTCATAAAAACCAAATAGAGATTGCATTTTTTCCTCCATCGAAGCCAATTCTTTCCGTCAAGAATTAGAAGGGAGTTTGGTAAATTTCCGTTACCATTCATCTTTACAGTGATTGATCAACAACAACCATCGATTCCGGAAATACGATATCTGACGTTTGATACTTGAAAGCATAATCAAGAGTCTAACTGGAGCTCTAGATACCAATTTGTTAGTGCATGATGCACCTTTAACGAGGAGAGAAAAAGAGAGAATAAGAAAATAAGGATTGATATTATTGAATGAAATGAATAAAACTAAATTACAAAGTGTCTATTTATATATGCCTAAGTGACTTGACTACTAAGTAAAATAAAAAACTAAATAACAAGTCCTAAACTCTAGTTAGCTTTGGGCTTGAGCCACACAATCCAACTTGGATTATATCTAATATCTCAACACAAAATCATTTCCTCAAAAACTCCTTTTCTAAACATATCATTGTTTAAAATGAATTATATTTTTTATCAACAAAGGCTAGTTCAACAAAATAGATTGAAATTTTATAATATAACAACTCATTGCATTGAAATAAATATTTATATTTAGTGTCCAAATACAATTATTTTTTGTGGAAAATGTTTATGAGAAAAATTTTAAAATTTAAATAGAATTTTATAATAAACAACAATAAAATAAAAAGACGATTTATCTTTAACACAACAACATCTCCTCGTCTTAAATCTAAATTTCTGATGACCATATGTAGCCTCCGACTTTGGTGGTGTGAAGCCTCTCAGTCCGCTCCACCATTCACCCTCTTTAGATTGCACCATTAGTCTGATTTCAATTGCTCTGGCGATTTGGTTTCAACGGTGGTTGGTATGGCTAATTAATGTTCGATGCAGGAAGATCGGAAACCGATTAGGTCAGATTCAAAGTTATGTTTTCGTTTCATCAATGGAATTTTTCTGGCTGAGTACTCATTGGATTATGGTTCTTTGAAGGCAGAGTATTTCGACATCTGATGGTTGTGTGCTGCAACTTGGTTCCTTTCATGGTAGAAGTACGATGGTTGTGGCAGCTACTTCCTTTTCTCTAACGGGTCTCTTAAACGACAATGGTTTAGCCACGGTCACAGGTTTGTGTTTTTGGTGCAGAGCTGGCAGCCCAGGGTTTTGATTATTTGATTGTCTTTAGATATCTTGAGATTTACAAGTTTCAATATTTAAGGATGATCTCCTTTGTGTTGGCGCTGACTCAATATTTGCATCATTCATCGTGATTGTTGTCAGATTGATTTAATATCTGTATCATTATATATGTTTAATGTTGGATTGTTTGGCTCGAAAGAGTCGTCTTGCTTGTTCATTATTTTTCCAGAAGTTGTTGGCTCGTGAATCATTATGTGTTGGCGGTTGGTTCATTCACCCTCTTGAAAAATGAAGGCTTACACAAGTCTCTTTTTTTTGCTATTTGATTTCGCGCCCGTACGCAGGTTCGTTGGATAGTGTTTGTCTCATGTGTGTGTTTGTTTTAGTTTATTTTAAACTGATTTTATTGTATTTGAACTGTTGTATACCCTTTTGTCTGGTTTCGTAATTTGACCAGGTTTTGTTTATGCCCTAGTACTTGTATTTTTTTTATATTTTCGTTATATATATATATATATATATATATATATATATATATATATATATATATATATATATATATATATATATATATATATATATATATATATAATTTATAAAAAAGATATATAAAATATTTGACTTTCTTAATATTAGGATATACCATTTTGATTGTAGTTATTTTATTTCATTTTATTTTATTTTTTTACAAAAAATTTTAGGTGAGTTATGATTCAAAAGCTGCTATAGTGAAATTTAAACCGACGACATTTTAGTGTGTGAGTCAACTCTTCCCTAAGTGATATGCATGATAAAAATCTACTTCCAGTCAAATATATTCGTCCCCGCCTCGAATCTAAAGAGGAACACCTGATTTAACTAGGATTGATGGCTAGTGAGGAAAAAACTTGGTTAGTATCCCCTATTCCGCACCCACCTTTCACCCGACCCGACTTATTAAATTTATTTTTTATCTTTATTTTAATAATTTTAATATATATATATATATATATATATATATATATATATATATATATATATATATATATATATATACTTTTTTTAATATAAAATAATAAGTTTATTAAAATTATTATTTATATTTTAAAAATATAGATTGATTAAAAATGACCAAGTATTATTATTGTTAAAATAAGAAAAAATAGGACATGCACCGATAATGTAAAATAATTTTACATTGTCAATCAATCACCATCATGTATCCCGCTATATCATACTGTAATTTTAAAGTTAGTGGTATGACATGATAGATTGATGAATTCTTATTAAATATATTTTAATTTTAATTTTGATATTTATTGTTATGAAAAAAATGTGTTTTAAAAAATTATAATTTTAGCGGATGGGTACGGAGAAAGGCAAGGAAACCCATACCCGTTGGTGCCGGGAGTAAATGGACATTTGATATCTTTGATCGAAGGCGGGGGAGTCTGGGCAGGACTATATAAAAAAGCGGGATATAGCTGATAAAATTTAAATCCAACACCACCCTATTCCATTGTTATGCATATTGTAATTTTTGCAGTAACTAGACCTTGCACACACTCAATCATTTTTAACCATTTTATTGTAATCTAATGGTTCTAATTAATATTTGAATTTTACTACGAGTGCTTTAGAACACTAATTAAAAATTTTAAATAAAAAATATTATATATTCAATGTATTGAATACACACAATATTTTTTTAAAAAAATTAATTATTTATATTTTTAATGCATTATATATATATATATATATTTAATATTTTTTAATTTCTTAAAAAAATGCTCAAATTACCTTTTTTATCTTTTAAGTAGCTCTTTTTTATTTTTTATTTTATGATTTTAATGAAACATTTTCTTTTAAATAGAAAAAGAAAAGAAAAGAAAAAGAAAACAAAGCATAGAAGCACATAGATCCATTCCAAGTTGTCTGGCACGTGCCAAAAGCACTCTCGCCGCAATCGAGATTCCATTTTCCCTCTATATCCTTTCCTCCTCTCTCACTCAGTCATGATTGACACAACGAAGACTGAAACACAGAAGAAAAAGCTTCCGTTCATTCCCCACACAGTCTACACATCACATCACCGCAATACCCGACCCGAATCCATCGATCCAAACCTGATCTATCCATCAGGTAATGGAGTCGATACTGGGTCGGGCTCTCGAATACACTCTAAAATACTGGCTCAAATCCTTCACCAGAGATCAGTTCAAATTGCAAGGCCACACCGTTCACCTCTCAAATTTAGGTAAATCACCGAATCATAATTCGAGTTTAGTTTCGTTTATTGTTGATTTCACTGGCTATGATGATGAATCTTAATTTCAGATATCGACGGTGATGCTTTGCATTCCAGTGTTGGATTACCGGCGGCGTTGAATGTTGCGTCCGCTAAAGTCGGAAAACTTGAGATAACGGTTGAATTGCCTGTGACTAAGAGCTAGCTTACTTTTTTCAACTTCTTTTTGCTGTTTTGTTGATTGATTATTCTGTTGTTTGTGTAGCTTCCTTCGGTGAGTTATGTGCAAACGGAACCAATCATTGTGCAAATTGATAGACTCGATCTTGTTCTCGAGGAGAATTCTGATTTTGACGCATCTTCAAATCCAAACAGGTAGAAATGAAACGAAACTTGGCTTGGAATAATATTAATTCAAGCTGTGTTTGGATAATAAAAACTTATTTAAGTGTTTATAAATAAGCTATTATGATACTTTTTGGACAAACAACTTAATTTTGCATTTATAACACTCATGCTCATCATATAGTGTTTATGTACTACCTCCGTTTTTATTATAAGCTCTTTTGTCACTTAGAAATATAGTTATTGTTGTACGAAAAAGAGAAATTAAGAAGGATTTTACAAAATTAGCTTTCATTAATATATGAGAAAGATAAATCAAAAGAATGGAAAGAAGGGAGAATAATGAATACTTAAGGATGTAATAGGAAGAGTAGCATTAATGATTCATTGGTATTAGTAAAACAACTTATAATTAAGTACAAAACTATTTTCAAAGTGACATTATAAAAATCAATAGGGAGTATAACTTATGACAGGGTTTGGATAAACAATTTAGTTAAGAGATTATAACATTATTGTTTATCATATAAGTGCTTATACATATTTGATATTTCAATAAAACAATTTCAAATTATTTTCATATAAGTTTAAGCACATAGCTTATAAAAGTAAGCTGTGGACAGTTTATGAAATGTCATTGACTGTTTTTATAAGCTCTCCTAAACAGTTATGTTATGCTAGTAGATAATCTCAAATAAATCAATCCAAACAAGTCAATCCTTTTGCTACTGGTTTATTGATTTTTCTTTGTTGTTTTCTTTTGTTTACGTGCAGTTCCACCTCTTCGGCTGCGCCTGCCAAGGGTAGCGGTTATGGTTTTGCTGACAAGGTTTGAGTTTGAATCTGATGTTTTCTAAGGCATAGTTTGATAGAGAGTGATTTATATTTAATTAGATATTTTAATTAGCAATTTTAATATAAATCACTCTCTATCAGAGTTGATGTGCATGATGAAGTGTGATATTCTAATAACATCGTACCACAGTTGTTTTTATAGTTAGTTGTGGACATGACTTAGGGATTTGAATTTGAACGGTTATGTTCCAAGTGACATAGATAACGATGTAGGCAAAGACAAATTTGTTGACTATCGGGTGAGATAATTGGATCTGTGACAAATATTGAGCGGAACAGGATGATAAGGATTTAGTGCATGCCAACGGGAATCGTAGGATAATTCCTATCTTTTGTTCATTGGTTAAGTCATCAGTTAGTCACAGTCACGAACACCCTGTTACAAACATTGTTATGTGTAGTTAAGTTTGTATCCCTATTCCCTTGTTACCTTGTATATAGGATGTAAAATAGACTTTTGTAAATCAAATCATTCTGTTAATCAGCTCTTTTTACATGTCTCCTTTGCATGCCCCTTTTCACATCCTTCCAGTTAAAGATAAAACCTCACTCAAATTAATGACTAACATAGAGAATGCTGATATTTAATAGGGAAAAGGGAAAACAGGGTAAAGGTTATCTCATTCCCCGTGGAAAGATGGTTTGTTGCAATGCCTTTCAAGCTTCAGTCTAACTCATTCATTCCATTTAGTGTTGATAGTTCCTAGCAAACGCCAATCACTTGTCCACAGACACAAATATCTTATTTGGATGTTATTTGATCATACTGATTGTAGGCATTCATTAGATTGCAGATGGCATGACTATAAACATTCATACAGTTAATCTATTACTTGAAACTCGTGGTAGTTCTCGCCGTCAAGGGGGAGCAACATGGTAAGCTCCAGTTACCAGTTGATAGAGCACTTTGTATTGCTATGTATCATGCATATGCAATAGTACATGATTAGATTTCCACTTAATTGTGCTAGCTGTATGCATTCTGTTAGAGCTGTTTGTAAGTAGTTGATAACTGTTCCTCTTTTCTGTATTCTATAAATAGAGTTCTGAACTATTCTATCTTGTATAATGAATATTTAAATATACTTTTAGTCCCCCAAAATAAGATAACTATTGCTTTTGGTCCCTAAAAACAAAATTCGTCAGCTTTTGGTACCTCTTTTCTGGAAATGATTACAATTGATTCCTCTCTGAACTCTTTTGGTCCCTGTTTTTTTTTGGCTGAGAGGGATAAATTGTGATCATTTTCAGAAAAGAGAAACCAAAAGCTGACAATATTTTTAAAGGCACCAAAAACAATTACAACATTATATGAGGGACTAAAAAATATATAAGCCTGTAATGAATTACATAATTTCTGATTTTATGCAATTCTCTCAAATTCTCGACATCTATCACCAGCTCTCTAAATTTGATTTCTTCAATTTTTTTATTGGTCTACCCAACACTGCTAAGTATTATGAATCTCTTCAAATTGAAATTGATTTTAGTATATGGTTCTCTGCTGGAATTGCAGTATCTAACTACAACATGTAATCGAGTTAAGATACAGTAGGTGATTATGTGGGGTAACTTTAAGCATATTAACGAGGACTGATGAGTTTTACTCTGGTTTTGACTAAAATATATGCTCTAAGTTTTATCTCAAACCTTATATGTAAGCATCCCCATTCATTGTTTCTGGTTGCAGGGCACCACCTATGGCATCTATGACCATACGCAACCTTATGCTGTATACAACAAATGAAAACTGGCAGGTAATTACTTTGAAACTCTGGGTTCTGCAATTTATTAATCTTGTCCAGTGTAGCATATTATTGAATTTTTTTTATCAGGTTGTAAATCTTAAGGAAGCGCGGGAGTTCTCCAGTAACAAAAAGCACATATATGTCTTCAAAGTAATATATCCTACTTTACTAATTTTCATATGTGTGGAAATTGCTCTTATAAGTTTCTTCAATAAAAATTATTTTCTGTTCTCAATGATGAGGATAAAATGTTGCTTTTTGTGCATTATTATCTGTTAGTTCTCACTTTTTTTTCCTGTGCAGAAATTGGAATGGCAATCGTTGTCTATTGATCTTTTACCGCATCCAGACATGTTCACAGATGTTGAAGAGGGGTCAAACCTGAGGGATGATGATGGTGCAAAAAGAGTATTCTTTGGAGGAGAGCGTTTTATAGAAGGAATATCAGGAGAAGCATATGTAATACATACAGTTCCTCCAAGCTATTTTATAAATATTCTGTTTTATTATAGAATGTTATGAGTCATGAAATATAGGTTGGATGTATGATTACCAGATCACAATTCAGAGAACTGAATTGAACAGTCCACTTGGACTTGAGGTTCAACTACACATCAATGAAGCTGTTTGCCCTGCGTTAAGTGAACCAGGTTAGTAAAAGGTCTCTCTTTGTTTCTATTTTATTTATATTCAATTGAATACAATGCATGTATATAGCATGAGGTTGATACAACGTATGTGAGCAGGACTTCGTGCACTTCTTCGCTTCATGACTGGAGTATATGTCTGTCTAAACAGGGGTGATGTTGATTTAAAGGCTCAGCAGGTTTCTTATTGTCTTACCTTTCTATTTCCTTTGAGCACACCAAGTCTCAATAGTTTCTTTCATTTTTGTACAAAATCATGTTTCATTATGGCTTTCTCTGAGTCTATCTGTAATTGAATTCTGACAGCGGTCCACTGAAGCAGCTGGGTGTTCTCTTGTATCAATTGTCGTAGATCATATATTTCTTTGCATTAAAGATGCTGGTTTGTCTTTGGCCTGCGCATAATTCTTTTTATGTTGATCTATGTCTCCTTCAATTGTTATTGAATATCCTATGGTTACTAGTGCTATGTATAATGTCTGTTACAAAATGATCAAACAATTGGTATCAACTTGCAGAATTCCAGCTTGAATTTTTGATGCAGTCCCTCTTTTTCTCTAGGGTAAGTTTATAGATATTTTCTCTGCTTACGCCATAAATTCTTGCACTTATTCTTTTCTTGGATCATTGTTCATATATAAACCCTCTCTTACCTGTGTGTACTTGGCACGTGTTGCTAGCATATAATCCATATGAATGATTCAGAAAAAAGAATGCATTACATTTATGCGATTTGAACTTGAATCTGAATTTCATAATATCCATATGAATGATTCAGAAAAAAGAATAAAAAGATAAGCATTACATTTATGTGATTTGAACTTGAATCTGAATTTCTTATTCTATTATGTAGAGAGAGTACATATATATAGGTCTCCTAACTAATCCCACTAATTAGGGAAATGATATACTAGGTCCAAGTTTCCTAACCAATCCCACTAATTAGGGGAAAGATAATACTAAGAATTAAAAAACAATAAAACAATAAATACTAATAATAAAAACAATATCATATATCAACAATGTGGTCTATGCGATTTTGGCATGATAAGCTTTCTTCTTAAAATAATTAGGTTTTTAGTGGCAGTAGACTCATACTGTTTGATTGACTATCCTTGTAGGCCAGTCTTTCTGAAGTAGACAACGACAAAAACATGACCAAGATTACGATTGGTGGATTATTTTTGAGGTTTGTGTCTTTCAGCTCTGTTTGAACTATAACTATCAAAAAAATTAAGTGATCTGTGTGTGTATGCATGGTTGCTGGTATCTGTGTCAGTGTGTATGGAAACCAGGATATAAGTTTGTGTCAATGTATTTTGTGCTCATAGATTTAAATGGAAACTAGGAGCCAACTTATCTGAACCTATTGGTAAAAGGTTATGAACCACTGCTATTTTGGTTAGATATTCTGGACTGGAATGGGAGAAACTAATGCAATCAAAAAGGGGGAAATAAAAGAACATGAATTGCTTATGTTCTTAAGAAGTGGCAATATCCTTGCGTGATTAATAATTTCGGCAGCTCTTGACAATTGAAATGACGCAATCTTCATATTCCATCACTTAAAACGAAACTAAATTATAGTTTGAGTTTATTGGAATGCAGGGACACCTTTTCTTCCCCTCCATGTACATTAGTGCAACCATCAATGCAAGCTGTCACCGGAGATGCTCTTCATGTGCCAGAATTTGGTATTAAGTTATTAACGCACTTAAGCAACTATTATGTATGTTTTTAACCAGATGTATCATTTGTTAATTATTTGTTTCTATCCTTTCTTTTGACAGCCAAATGCTTTTGCCCTCCGATATATCCTCTAGGAGAACAACAATGGCAGTTGACCGAGGGTAGCCCTCTAATATGCCTCCATGCTCTCCAGATCATACCTTCTCCACTTCCACCATCCTTTGCTTCTCAAACTGTTATTGACTGTCAGCCACTTATGGTATGTGCAGGTTTTCACAATAAATGCTCTGTTATGGACTTAGTGCACTGTATTTATATATTTTTGCCAATCATATTATTTAAAGTATTTTTTTCTTCTTCCAGATTCATCTCCAAGAAGAATCATGCCTGAGGATATCCTCTTTTCTAGCTGATGGTATTGTTGTCAGTTCTGGTGACATTTTACCAGACTTCTCAGTGAAATCTTTTATTTTTACTCTCAAGGGACTGGATCTTACCGTTCCTTTTGACAAGACCAAATTGGATATTTCTCGAAGTGACATGGACGATACAATCCATAACTCCTTTACGGGAGCAAGGCTTCATATTGAAAGCCTTTTATTTTTAGATTCACCTTCACTGAAACTAAGGATGCTGAACCTTGAGAAGGATCCTGCTTGCTTCTGTCTTTGGGAAGGTCAACCAATTGATACTACCCAGAAGAAGTGGACTGTCAGAGCATCCCAGCTTACTTTGTCTCTGGAAGCATACATAGGTACAACTGGACACCAGACCTCAGGATTGTGGAGATGTGTTGATCTGACAGAAGCTTGCATTGAAGTAGCCATGGCAACAGTTGATGGAAGCCCGTTGTTGAAAATTCCTCCTCCAGGGGGTATTGTTAGGGTTGGAGTGGCTTGCGAACAATATTTGTCCAACACTTCTGTTGAGCAATTATTTTTCGTCCTAGATCTCTATGGTTATTTCGGAAAAGTTAGTGAAATGATGGCAATGGCTGGAAAAGGGAAACAACTGGAGGACAGTGGGAACAAATCTTTTAGTGGAAAGCTTATGGACAAGGTTCCTAGCGACACTGCTGTGAGTTTAGCTGTGAAAAACCTCCAACTTCGATTCCTGGAGTCTTCATCAATGAATGTTGAGGGACTGCCATTGGTGCAGTTTGTTGGAGATGATCTGTTTACCAGTGCTACTCATAGAACCCTTGGTGGGGCTATTGTTGTTTCTTCTTCTCTACGCTGGGAGAGTATTGAGATAAGTTGTGTGGATGCTGAGGGGAAATTGGCATGTGAAAGTGTCTCTTCCTTGAGTTCTAGCATAAATGCTCCTTCACTAAGTGATAATAGATATCCTCAACTAAGACCTGTATTCTGGGTGCATAAAAATGAAGGACATCTATCGGATGCAAATGCTCAATCTTTCCCTTTTTTGGACATAAGCACAGTTCATGTCATACCATTATATGAACAAGACTCGGAGTCTCATAGTTTGAATGTCTCAGCTTTTGTATCTGGTGTTCGTCTTGGTGGGGGGATGAACTATACTGAAGCTCTCCTGCATAGATTTGGAATACTTGAGCCTGACGGAGCTCCTGGAAAGGGTCTTTGTAAAGGGTTGGAAAACTTACAAAAGGGACCTTTATCAAAACTTTTTAAGTCAACTCCTATGATTGATGATACAGAAGATGGTATGAAACAAACAATGTCATCTGATTTTCTCTAGTATGAAACATTTTGATTAATACTCCCTCTGTCCCTAATTATTAGCACCTATTGAGAGAAAAAAATGTCTCTAAATATAAGCCCTCTTTCAAGTTACTAGATGCACTTAATATTTTTTTTCAAGATATAACTAATTAATACTTCTGCTTTGCTTTAGAATATAAAAAACAATATTAAATGCATAACAATATTAAATGCATCTATACGCAAAAGGTAGTTTAGTAATAGTTACACAATGCACACATAAATTACAATACCAACTTTTCTTAATATATGTGAAAAATGTCAATGCGTGCTTATGAAAAGGGACAGAGGGAGTACATAATATATTTATTCTAAGTTCATATTCCTTATGTTCATATGTCCACATGTTTAATTTAAATTCAGTTTTCTAAGTTAATAACTTTTTAACAGTTGAGAGCATAGGGGAGGGGAAAGAAACAGGTTTTCCCCACTTGAAGAAGCCAGATGACGTGGATGTAACTATAGAATTGAGAGACTGGTTATTTGCTCTTGAAGGTGCAGAGGATATGGCTGAAAAGTGGTGGTTCTCCAGTCACGAAGACGAAGGAAGAGAAGATAGGTGTTGGCACACATCTTTCCATAGTTTACAAGTAAATGCAAAAGGTAGCCCGAATAATGTTTCTGGTGGGAAAGGTCAAATACGAAAATTACAGCATCATCCAGTAGAAATGGTTACGGTAATTTAATGCTTCTTTCTGATTTTTCAAGATATAATGTTTGGGTTTGTAAATTTATGTTCCATAGTACCGCTGAATCAAAGATTTAGGACGTGTTTGTTATAGATTAAAGTAAAAGTGATTTTTGATATATTACTGTGCATAATGATCAAAATGCATTTGGTATATACTCGGGAAATGTTACATGTAATCTTTTTGGATTGTATCTGATTTATTTGCTTTTGCTTTTGCTTTTGGTTTGAACATGTTAAAACTAAATATCCTTATTATGATGGTATTTTTTGGCTTCTCATTTCTGTCGTCTATCTTTTTTTTAATCAACATTCAACCACTATATTATAAAAAAAAAACCTCCGGAATCAACCCAGTCTTTCTGTTGTTTATCATACAATCTTAAATACTGAGCCTGAACATGCAGGTTGGAGTTCAAGGGCTGCAAATCCTGAAGCCTCATATACAACAAAACATTCCTTCATCAGTGGTAATTGGAAACGGCGTTAAGGAACTTACTGGCATAGTTGGAGGGGTTGGTCTTGAAGTTCGCTTAGTATTATGTGAGGAGAATGTTGACGATGAAACGACTAATTGGGAAGTGGAAAATCTAAAATTCTCTGTTAGACAGCCGGTAATGAGAATTATAGATTTAAGTATGGGTCATTGTCTCTCTTTTATTAGATGGTTGTCTGTAATGTTTATTTTGCCATGCAGGTTGAGGCAGTTGTAACAAAGGATGAGCTTCAGCACCTTACTTTTTTGTGCAAATCTGAAATTGATTCAATTGGCCGAATAACTGCTGGAATTATAAGGTTGCTTAAGCTAGAAGGCTCTGTTGGTCAGTCTGTAATTGATCAACTAGGCAACATAGGTATGTTTTCAAAGTTTCTTATTCATTTAATTATTTTTTACTCATAAAATCAGTAGAACATTTTTCCTTACCTAAAAGTTAGAAATTGATGGGACTATTTTGTCTTTGGATCATTGCGCGGAAGTTGGATTTTGTATGCTGATACACTCTTGTATATTTCTTTTGTCAACTATCATCATCATCTTCATCTAATTAATGGTATGATCACTTGCAGGAAGTGAAGGCATTGACAAATTTTTCTCCGGTGAAAAGGTTAGAGACGGTAGCATTGGTAGTAGAGGACGTTCTCCATTACCAAGCCTGATATATGAAGAACCAAACAAAACTCCGGAACAGACATTAACTTTGCTTGAGGAAGCGGTTATGGATTCACAGACTAAAATCAATGACTTAATCAGTGACATTGGTACTTCTGAGTCTTCTTCCTTTCAACACCTTACCATCGTCAAACTGAGTCAAAAGATTGAGACTATGCAAGGTTTGTTGCTGCAATTGCGGAATCAACTTTAAGGTTCATCTGCCATTTTTGTTGTACAAAATATATATATCATCAATCAATTGATTTCAATTACATAGGTTATATACATATATTATGTATAGAGGAGAAAGTCCTTGTTGAGTGTTTTATGAGCATGGCAGGCCCCAAGGCTCTTCATTGTAACGGAAAATTTTGTTTCCTTGAGCAAAAGTAAAATCTTTTCCGACCATGTAATTAGCACGATAATTGTGACTACAATTCCGGTTACTTGTTTTGGTAAATACTTTAGTAAGGTCGAGAAGATTTGTTTTGTTTTGTTGGTATAATAGAGTTGGGAATGGTTTTGGTTATTGATCAAGAACAGCTACATTGAGCGCATTCGATGTCTTGAATACGAAGAAGGTAATGGTAGAAACATAGATTTGTTAACTATTTTTAACAAAAGTTTATATCAAATAGTTTGTTTAGATAAAATTTTCCTATCTCGAATTCTATTTATAAGAGAAAATTTACTTTTTAAATTTATTAAAAAAATAATGTATCTGAACTTTACACGTTGAACAAGATATATTTATTATTCAATGAATTTAAGAAATCAATTTTTTCTTATAAATCTTATAAAATCAGAGGGAGTAAAAAGTATGTTAAAATGGGATTGAGCTTCTCTCCCATCAAATTGTAAGTGGAGGGGGTCTGGTTAACATCTGTACTTTTCAAATTCCTCACAATTGACTTTGACTATTTGTGGGAAAAAAGATAAATAGATGAGATTCCACTGCAGCAAAATGTCATAAGAATCTGTTCCCACTAAAATGAAAGTTTTTTAGTTAGCACAACGTGTCTTTTCTTACCAATGAGTATGAGAATAGAGTCACACTCTTCGCAGTACAAGTTAGATGTGTAAAGATGAATTATGTTCAACTCAAATTTTAATACTAATATTAGAGTCAATTGATTGGGGTTAGAGACCAACAACCGTATATATTCACGCATTTAATTTAATAGTGTTGCACATTTTATACTCTTCATTTTATACACGTTTTTATAGAAATGAGTTACATTAAATTTTACATGTCTCTGATACAATATTAGAATAAGAGTTTCATATAACTCATCTCTAAAAAAATACTAACTTATTAGATGTGTGATGCCATTCTATTTTTTAAACAATATAAAATGTCAGTAATATAATGGACAATGATATAAGTTAAGAAAAAATAATCTGAATCACACATTGACAAAGATGATTGGGAGGACGATTTTCAAATAATAAGACATCAGCTGGAACTAGATAACAACTAAAATCTGGGAAAAAGTAACGATACCCCTTTTAAGTACGAGAGTAATCAAAAAATCACACTTCAATGACTTCGGGTCTAACTTAGTTATTTGTAAACGAACATCAAACACAAAACAGGTGCATCCAAATATTTTGGGGGTAAAGAAAAAAAGAATAAGAAAGAAAAATGATGGAATATGAGATAACACAATTTAAAACAGATGATGACATACAATTAATTAATTGGGCAATAGTGAGTACCGCATCTGTCCAAAAAAGTATTGGAGCTTTCATCTCAAACAATAAAGATAAGAAATCTTTCATTAAGTGTCTCATCTGTCCAAAAAACTATTGGAGCTTTCATCTCAAACAATAAAGATAAGAAATCTTCCATTAAGTGCTTGTTTTTGCGCTCAACAACTCCATTTTGTTGTGAAGTGACAATGTAAGATGATTGGTGAATCTTACCATATTGATTCATGAACGTATTAAATTGTGTAAAAAAGTATTCTTTAGAATGATCACTTCGGAGAATGAAAATATGACAATTAAACTGAGTACGATTTTCAGCACAAAAATTAAAAAATATAGTAAATAACTCAGGTTTGAATTTCATTAGATATAACCAAGTTGCACGGGAATAATCATCAACAAAAGTAAAAAAAAAAAATACTTATAGCCAAACTTTGAGTTACTAGACAAGGACCCTAAACATCACAATGAATAATGACAAATATTTGAGCCTTTTTATTTTGATGAGGTAAATAAATACTACGATGGTGCTTAGCAAACTAACATGACACACAAGATATACTCGATATTGACTCTAACAGAGGACACAATCTTTTAAGAACTCTTAAAGATGGATGTTCAAGCCGATAACGAAGCTAAAAAGGTGTCATGATGCAAAATTTGAAAGTTGTTGATGCTTGTGAAAGTCCTTATTCAAGCAGATACAACCTATTAGATACTCGTCCTCTGCCAATAGTCCTATGTATCAACAGATTCTGAAATACACAATAGTCGAGAAAAAAAAGTCACAACAATTTAACAAATTAGTTATTCGACTAATTGAAAGAAGATTACAGGAGAGTTGAGGTAAATATAAGACAAATGACAAAGGTAAGCTAGAAATTGGGGTAGAACACTCGCTTCCTTTAACATAGACTTTGGAACCATCAACAAGGGTAATAGAAGAATGATTACTGGAATGACTGAATGAGAAAAACATACCTGTTCTGGACTGGGCTTGTGACTGACCCAACGTCGAGCACAACTCAATCCAAGTCTACGTTGACGGCGACCCAGAGTGCTAGCCAAACCTATTAAGACCAGAGGATAACACGTTCCCCACGTGCCCCTCACCCGAGGACACATCACCAACTGACCCGCACGTCTCGTGGAACCTTTCTACCATTCGTAACGGGAAAGTCCATCCACTAACCAGGGAATGCGAAGCAGTTGACCCAGGACGATGAGCACGGGATTCTCATCCCTGCCTCCACGTAGGAATCTTGGCAGTCATCCGTTGTGGGCATGAACACTTAGCCCATAACGGAGACCATTGGCCAAACTCTGAAGGCTCACTATAGAAACCCTCCTCTGCAAGAGGGTCAGATATTCTATTCTTTACCCTTTGTTTCTCATCTCTTTACTCGAAATGACTTAAGCATTAAAGTGTTTGCAGGTACACACATCACCGTCAACAATTTAAGACCGCGGACATGTTGCTGGCCACTCATTCATTCTGATCGACAGGTTAGATCAATGACGCTGTCTGTGGGAATCATGTTTCCTCTTCTTTTCTTTCATTGAAACCAAAAGATCAAAACAAAAAAACTCCAGAAACTAATCATGGCTGGTTAACACGACGACAACAACAGAGGTCACGAAACCATCCTATCTTTCGTTCATGACGCTGATAACAACAATGGTATGCCTTTTCTAGAGGAAAACACTCCATCACGGAGAGACGGGTGCACCTCCTCCCTTTCCTCCGACAATGCGGCTGATCACGACCTCCAACACGTCGAATCTCAAAAAGTACCAAAGAAGGCGCTAGAGAGATTTCAACCGATTTTGGTGCCACCCAAGACCGACCCAACCACGGGGCCCTATTCGCGACACTGAACCAGACCAACACCCTGATCTACCAGTAGAATGAGAGGATCAGAGCATTGAAGAAGGCCCGCCATTCACGCTCTCCCTTGCGGAGGCACTGACGATATGAGTCCCAAAGCCCGTTGACACGACGATTAGGCCGCCGCCCGCAGTTAGAGAGGTTGCAGCCCCTGAAGCACAACTGCATTCCTCCTCACGAGGATCGACGCTCCCCAATTGCCAATAAAAGCAAGGCCGACAGATGACCAGATAATTGTCGTTCGCCCCTGCGTAAATCGAAGGGACGACCAAAGAACTCGTCACCATTCCGCGACGACAACCCTCGGCGAGAGAAGTAAAATTATTATATGTGAGGACAAAACCTTATGTAACATATGGTATTGAGTTTCGATGATGACAAAACGCAACCATGGATGAATCGGTCTTATCGGCTCTACATCTACAAGACAATTGCAATATTTCACCTCTCATATCCTTCTTATATCCTTCTAACTTGGCATATTCAATTCAATATATGTGGAAGATCATTTGTTATGGTTAAATGTATTAAAATCACAAATATATGCATTTTTACAGATTTTCAGGCTTTGAGTCGACCACAGGTTGGCGCATGAAGCAGTACAAACTCCCACTGGTCAGCACACGCTGACCTATGGTCGACCACAGGTTCATCGCATGAAGCAGTGCAATTTTTCACTGGTCGGCGCACGCCGACCTATGGTCGACGCATGCAGTCAAGACTTTTTAAATTTCCTAAAACTGCAGGCTATGCATCGATGCATAGTCCTGCTATGGTCGACCGTTCGCGCGTTTGTGCAGTTAGTGAAGTCTTTCTACTTTGGTTGAAAAGCTGTTAAGTGTGTTGGTTGGTTGGTTACTATATATAGAAGGTTTGTTCTTTTTTAACAACAACAATTGAGATTTTGAGTCAATTGTGCAAGAAACAAGAAAAGTGAAATAGGTGCTACCAAATCTCTTCATCTTCATCCTCAACAATTCACAACACAACAATTACACACAACAATTCTTGTTGTGGTTTGTGTCTCGTTCAAGGTGATAAGGTCTGAAGCCGTTGATTGGGAATCCGGTTCGGGTTGAGTTTGTAGCAGGTTTTTCTTGAATAAAACCTTTAAGGTTTTACCCTCCAAGATTCGAAGAATTTGGGGGTTTTTGGTACGGAAGGTTGTTCAACAAAGGGGCTGGAATCAGAGGTCTACTCACAATGATCGAAGGACTTGATTCGACTCGAATCAAGGAACAAGGAGAGAAAAGCATCATCAACATCAAGAGAACTTGTTTGTATATTTTGCTTATCTATCCTTGTATAAACACTTCAACTCTACAGGTGATATCTATTATATTGATCTCAATTCTAGATTTAGAATTGAGGCCAGACGTACCCTGAAGCGAGGGCGGCGGGGGAACTGCCTCAACAAATCTTTATCTCCTTTATTTTTCAGCACTTTCATTTTGGCTTTAGAATTTGAGTAATTTTAGTTTAAGCAATTCCATCAAAATTTGCATTGAATTGAGTAAGTGGTTTTCACTGTTTTGAACTCTAGTACAACTATAGATTGTACAAGGAATTTGGAGTTACTTACTTAAGTCAAAATTCACTTGGAGTGTCTCGCA